TATGCCTTTTCTTTTTTTGCAAGTTTCACTTGAAGAGGGAGATTGCCGGCAGCTGGAATTCTTGATTGGAAAGGGCTACAACATAGATAGCTATTCTGCACAACTCCAAATGACTTGAAAATTTACGGAGACTTGTTTTGGAATATATAAAAATTATTGGCGAAAGAATTACCAAAAGGGGACCCACCAGGTAGCCACAAGCCTGGGGGCGCGCCCCTGGACTTGTGTGGCCCCTGTCAGGCCTCCGAAGCCCATCGTCTCGAGGCGGAACCTGGGCAGGAGCCCTTTTGCTCTCCGGCGGAGCGATTCCGCCGGGGAAACTTCCCTCCGGGAGGGGGAAATCAAAGCCATCATCATCACCAACGATCCTCTCATTGTGGGAGGACCAATCTTCGCCAACATCTTCACCGACACCGTCTCATCACAAACCCTAGTTCATCTCTTCTATTTAATCTTTGTCTCAAAACCTCAGATTGGTACCTGCGGGTTGCTAGTAGTGTTGATTACATCTTGTAGTTGACGCTAGTTGGCTTATTTGGTGGAATATTATTTGTTAAAATCCTTAATGGTATACAATCCCCCTATGATCTTGAACATGAATACGATTTTTGAGTAGTTACTTTTTTCTTGGGGACATGGGAGAAGTCTGGTTATAAATAATCATGTGAATTTGGTATTCATTCGATATTTTGATGATATGTATGTTGTTGCTTCCTTTAGTGGCGTCGTGAAGGAGAAAGTATTGCTATGTGGAGTAGTAATTAGATTATAGGTTTCTAGAGTGACAGAAGTTTAAACCCTAGTTTATGCGCTATTCCATTAAGGGGCTGATTTGAATCCACATGTTTCATGCTATGGTTAGATTTATCTTAATTCTTTTTTAGTAGCGGATGCTTGAAAGAGGGGGTACTCATAAGTGGGAGGCTTGTTCAAGTAAGAACATCACCGAAGCATAGGTCCACCCACACATCAAATTATCAAAGTAACGAACATGAATAAAACAAAAATGATGAAAGTGACCAGATGAATTGAAGGAAATATGCCCTAGAGGCAATAATAAAGTTGTTATTTATATTCCCTTGTATCATGATAAATGTTTATTATTCATGCTAGAATTGTATTAACCGGAAACTTAGTACATGTGTGAATACATAGACAAACAGAGTGTCACTAGTATGCCACTACTTGACTAGCTCGTTAATCAAAGATGGTTAAGTTTCCTAGCCATGGACAAAGAGTTGTCATTTGATGAACGGGATCACATCATTAGAGACTAATGTGATTGACTTGACCCATCCGTTAGCTTAGCACCATGATCGTTTAGTTTACTACTATTGCTTTCTCCCTAACTTATACATGTTCCTATGACTATGAGATTATGCAACTCCCGAATACCCGAGGAACACTTAGTGTGCTATCAAACGTCATAACGTAACTGGGTGACTATAAATATGCTCTACAGGTGTCTCCGATGGTGTTTGTTGAGATGGCATAGATCAAGATTAGGATTTGTCACTCCGTGTATCGAAGAGGTATCTCTGGGCCCTCTCGGTAATGCACATCACTATAAGCCTTGCAAGCAATGTGACTAATGAGTTAGTTGCAGGATGTTGCATTATGGAACGAGTAAAGAGACTTGCCGATAACGAGATTGAACTAGGTATTGAGATACCGATGATCGAATCTCGGGCAAGTAACGTACCGATGACAAAGGGAACAACATATGTTGTTATGCGGTTTGACCAATAAAGATCTTCGTAGAATATGTAGGAACCAATATGAGCATCCAGGTTCCGCTATTGGTTATTGACTGGAGATGAGTCTCGGTCATGTCTACATAGTTCTCGAACCCGTAGAGTACGCACGCTTAGCGTTCGGTGACGATCGATATTATGAGTTTATGTGTTTTGATGTACCAAAGGTTGTTCGGAGTCCAGGATGTGACCACGGACATGACGAGGAGACTCGAAATGGTCGAGACATAAAGATTGATATATTGGGTGGCTATATTCAGACACCAGAAGTGTTCCGGGTGATTTCAGAGAAAACCGGAGTGCCGGAGGGTTACCGGAACCCCCCCGGGGAACTAGTGGGTCTAGATGGGCCTTAGTGGAGAGAGAGAGGGGCTGCCAGGGCAGGCCGCGCGCCTCCTCCCCCTTGGGTCCGAATTGGACTAGGAGGGGGTGCCCCCCCTTTCCTTCCCCTCTCCCACTCCTTCCTCCCCCCTCCTAGTAGGACTAGGTAGGAGGAGGATTCCTCCCCTCCTTGGCGCGCCCTAGGGTCGGCCAGCCTCCCCCTTGCTCCTTTATATACAGGAGCAGGGGGCACCCTAGAACACACAAGTTAACATTGTTTAGCGGTGTGCAGTGCCCCCTCCACCATAATCCACCTCGGTCATATCGTTGCAGTGCTTAGGCGAAGCCCTGCGCCGGTAGCTTCATCATCACCGTCATCACGTCATCGTGCTGACGAAACTCTCCCTCGACACTCAGCTAGATCTAGAGTTCACGGGACGTCACCGAGCTGAACATGTGCAGATCGCGGAGGTGTTGTGCCTTCGGTGCTAGGATCGGTCGGATCGTGAAGACGTTCGACTACATCAACCGCGTTGTCATAATGCTTCGCTTACGGTCTACGAGGGTATATGGAAAACACTCTTCCCCTCTCGTTGCTATGCATCACCATGATAGATCTTGCGTGTGCGTAGGATTTTTTTTGAAATTATTGCGTTTCCCAACATGAATTCTCTTGTGTCCTCAAGAGCGCTTTGCTTGCTATAAGAGAAAGTTTCGGCCTGTCCTTTGCTATAAAAAAGGATTGGGCTACCTTGCTGCACCTTTGCTATAATTGCTATTTGTCAGTTGTTACGAATTATCTTGCTATCAAACTATCTGTTACCGATAATTTCAGTGTTTGCAGAAAATACCTTGCTGAAAACCGCTTGTCATTTCCTTCTGCTCCTCGTTGGGTTCGACACTCTTACTTATCGAAAGGACTATGATTGATCCCCTATACTTGTGGGTCATCAAGACTCTTTTCTGGCACAATTTGGTAAGGAAACATTTGTATTATGTGCTGAAATTTACTGTCACTTGTCACTATGGAAAACAATCCTTTGAGGGGTTTGTCCGGTGTATCTCACCTCGACCAGAAGCACAAAGAGTTGCCCCTCAACCTACTGCACCTACTGAAAATATTTATTATGAGATTCCTTCGGGTATGTTAGAGAAACTGCTAGCAAATCCTTATGCAAGAGAGATGGGACGGTGCATCCTGATATGCACCTAATCTATGTGGATGAAATTTGTGGATTGTTTAAACTTTTAGGTTTATCGGAAGATGGAGTTAAGAAGAAAGTATTCTTTTTATCTTCGGAGGGAAAGGCATTGACATGGTATAGGCTATATGATGATATTGTAACGTGGGATTGGAACCGATTGAAATTGGAATTTCATTAGAATTTTTATCATATGCATCTAATTCATCATGATCGGAATTATACATATAATTTTTTGCCTCGTGAAGGAGAAAGTATCGCTCAAGCTTGGGGGAGGCTTAAGTATATGATGCACACATGCCCCAAGCATGAGCTCTCAAAAGAAGTTATTATTCAGAATTTTTATACTCGGCTTTCTCATAATGATCGTTTCATACTAGATTCTTCTTCTGTTGGTTCTTTTATAAAGAAAACTATTAAATTCAAGTGAAATCTTTTGAACAGGATTAAACGCAACTCTGAAGATTGGGAATTCAACTAAAGTAAAGATTTAGGTATAAATCTTGAGTTTGATTGTACTAAATCTTTTATAAAAATTGATGCTTTTCATAAGTTTACTTTTAAATATGGACTTGACTCTGAGATAATAGCTACATTTTGTGAATATTTTTTGCTGTTCATGTTGATCTTCCTAAGGATGAATGGTTTAAATATCACCCCCCTATTAAATAAAAGATAGAGGAACCCGTTATAGTTAAAGATGAAGCTTTCATACAATGTCGATCCAGTTGTGCCAACTACTTGTATTGAGAAATCTCATTTTCTTGTTAGATTTGAGGAACATGCTTAATCTACAACTGTGGTTAATAAAAGTAATATTAGAACACCTAAACCGTATGAACAAATTAAGGTTGAACCTAATATTGCAATGGTTAAAGATCTCTTAGTTGATAATACTGGATGGGCATGTTATTTATTTTTGTAATGATGCTGTTAGAATTGTTAAACCCGTTAGAAATGAATGTGATAATCTTAAAACGTAACCATTCCATTCTATCAAATATCCCCAACTAAACATTCTATCAAATATCCCCAACTAAACACAAGAACTAAACATAAGAACGGAACCGATCCATTCCAGTGGAATGAAACCATGACATTCCATTCCACTTGGTTCCCAAACCAAATGCACCCTTAATGAATGACTATTCAAGGAAATAAATAAACATTTCTATTTTTTCCAATTATTAATTTTCCTTTCCCATATCATCACGCGGTAATAACCCCCCTCTCTTCCCTGGCAACTAGCCGTTGCGAGCTTGCGGCCGCCCGCCGTGCGCCCCCGCGTCGTCGACCCCTACAAATACCGCTCCCAATCAAATCCCTAAATCTCACAAGTCATCGAGCAATCTGTGACTTTCTCTCTCTCTCTCTCTCTCTCTCTCTCTCTCTCTCTCTCTCTCTGCCTCCCCTCTCGTGCTCGCCGCCGCCTCCCTCGCCGATCCGGGGGAGACGAATCCCTCTCGCTCCCGAAAGATCCCCGTCTCTGCTCGCCAATCCGCTCGTTCAATCACAGCATCCCGTTCTTGTGCTAATTTTTGCCCGATCGATCTATTGATCCGCGTTTACTTCTGCCGCCTGATCTTGTTGCGATTACTGTTATTTGCTTGCCTGTTCTGTTGCTTCTGTTCTAACCATGGATGCAGGCTCCCGCTCGATCTCTTCCGGCAAGAGCCGCGCCGCCGCGCAGCGTCCGCTCCAGGAGGCCGGATCCCGCCCCTACATGCCGTCGCTGAGCACGCGCAACCCGTCGGCCAAGTGCTACGTAAGTTCCTGGATCCGAGATCCCGCAGATGCGTGTGCGCGTAAGGTGTTCGATGAAACGCCTGACCGGGTGTTTTATTTTTTTCCTTTGGTGCGTGCAGGGAGACAGGTTCATCCCGGATCGGTCGGCGATGGACATGGACGTGGCGCACTACCTGCTCACGGAGGGCAAGAAGGACAAGGAGAACGCAGCGGCATCCCCGTCCAAGGAGGCCTACCGGAGGCTTCTGGCCGAGAAGCTGCTCAACAACCGGACGCGGATCCTCGCCTTCAGGAACAAGCCGCCGGAACCCGAGAACGTGTTTGCTGCCGACACGGTTTCTTCTCACCAGGCCAAGCCGGCCAAGCAGAGGCGCTACATTCCCCAGGTACGCGCATACTCGTGGTTCCACTGATGCACATGGTATCTACAGATGTAGTAGCATTTGATTTGGTGGTGGTTACTGATGTCGATTGACAATTGCAGTCTGCCGAGAGGACTCTGGATGCACCGGACCTCGTCGACGACTACTACCTCAACCTAATGGACTGGGGGAGCAGCAACGTGTTGTCCATTGCGCTGGGCGACACCATGTACCTGTGGGACGCCTCAAGTGGATCCACATCTGAGCTCGTGACAGTCGAGGAGGACAACGGCCCCATCACCAGCGTCAGCTGGGCTCCTGATGGCCGCCATCTTGCTATTGGGCTCAACTCGTCTGACATCCAGCTCTGGGACACCAGCTCCAGCCGCCTGGTTAGTATACACTTGCAGTGGAGCTTGATTACAAAATATTGTTCATGTCCTAACGAGCTTGATCAGAGATGCTTAATTACATTCTGCTCTGTATGCAGTTGAGAACTCTGAAAGGTGTGCATGAGTCAAGGGTCGGCTCGCTGGCATGGAACAACAACATCCTGACGACAGGCGGCATGGACGGCAGGATCGTGAACAACGACGTGAGGATCAGGGATCATGCCGTGCAGACTTACCAGGGGCACAGCCAGGAGGTGTGCGGGCTCAAGTGGTCTGGCTCAGGGCAGCAACTGGCGAGCGGTGGCAACGACAACCTTTTGCACATTTGGGATGTGTCGATGGCATCCTCCATGCCATCTGCTGGCCGCAACCAGTGGCTGCACAGGCTCGAGGACCACACGGCCGCTGTGAAGGCGCTCGCATGGTGCCCGTTCCAGAGCAACCTGCTGGCAACCGGCGGCGGCGGTAGCGACCGGTGCATCAAGTTCTGGAACACGCACACCGGCGCATGCCTGAACTCTGTTGATACCGGGTCACAGGTGTGCTCTCTTCTGTGGAACAAGAATGAGAGGGAGCTGCTGAGCTCACACGGGTTCACTCAGAACCAGCTGACATTGTGGAAGTACCCTTCGATGGTCAAGATGGCTGAGCTCACTGGCCATACCTCCCGTGTTCTCTTCATGGCACAGGTACATTCCCATCGCCATTTTAATTCTTTGCAGATACTATCAACATGTTAGCCTGTTCGTTGTTTGATCGTCTTCTCATGCTGTGAAACTGCAGAGTCCTGATGGTTGCACGGTAGCGTCGGCTTCTGCGGACGAGACCCTCCGCTTCTGGAACGTGTTTGGCACCCCTGAGGTGGCCAAGCCTGCACCCAAGGCTTCCCACACCGGCATGTTCAACAGCAGCTTCGCCCATATCCGATAAGACGAACAATGCGAACAATCTCTTGAACTGGACATGGTCCTATGGACAGCTGCGTTGTGTGTACAGAGAACAGGCTGAATACCTGGGTATATAATACCGCTGATGTACTGCCTAACTGTGGATAAGATAATATACAGATGGAGCCGCCGAAATTCGGCTCCCGGGGACGTAGGCACATTGCCGAACCTCGTTAACAAATGCCTGTCATTTCAATTCTGAGTTGTGCTGTCTTTGTGTCTAACTTTGGTTATATAGAACAGAGAAAATCGCCAACAGATTGAAGACTGCTAATGGTGTTGTCGTGAACTGCAGGTTATGGCTGGGTAGCGCACCACCAGATCAGACGCCATGCCCTTCTAGAATGAGTGGTATGGAGAAGTCGATCCGCAAATACGCGGAGGACCCAACAAAGAGTGTAATAAGGCCTGATCTTGGACTGAACTGAAGCGGCGGCTTACAATGTCACTGAAATAGAGAAGATGAGGAAGTATGTCACAGTGCACAACAATGCAGTAAAATGGAGAAATGGAGCAGGGTTGAGTACGAGGTGAACATAAGTGAAGACAAAGAAGAATGTACGTGTGAATGTGGACAGTTCGAGCACACTGGGATGTTGTGCTGCCATGTTCTAAGGGTAAATTGACTTATCAACTCCGTTCGTTCAAAAAGAAAATGTATTCGCGACCAAGAAAACTAAAACGTTTTTGCACTGACGCAGGTGATGGAAATACTTCATGTTGAGGAAATCCCGGCTAAGCATATATTGAAGCGGTGGACAAACGACCAAGGGACATACTACCCCAACATCTGGTTCAGTACCAGAGAGATGATCCAGTTAACCTGTCATTCACGTGTAGGCACTCCACCTTTTACTTGAAAGCCATGGATGTAGAGGCTTTCGATCACACTTATGTTGGTTTGGATGCTTTAATGGTGAGTGGAGCACCTTTCGCCGAGAGGAGGGATGGTCTGGGTTTTGAAGACCGCATGGCCTGCTTAGTTCCTGGTACATTACCTGGGAACGGAGAGATTGCTTGTGTTGGCAAGCAACGAAATTGCCGAAAAATGCATTAGCACTGCGAACTCTGTCAGTGTGAATGCTCTGCATGGGCTAACAGTACCAGAGAAGCAGAGAGGGGTTGGGAGACCGACAAACTGCAGGGAGAAGGCACCGTATGAGGGGCTGAGCAAGCGTACAAGATTCTGCAACATATGTCGTCGAGAGGGCGATAAGCGGACTATGTGTCCTGAAAGAGGGGATGCACCCAAAAAACTGCGGAGGCCTAGGAAGTGCAAGAATTGTGGCATGGAAGGACATCGTCGGACCACTTGCACTAGGCGGATGGGTGTTGCTGAAACATGAAAACTGAATTTTGATAATCTGTAGTTCCGAGGATTTTCTGGTGTGTTTTTGTGAGCTTTGCTCCACGCTTGTTCCTCAGTTTGGAGAGACACGCCATAGACTGTAAACATAGGTTTGTTTCTTAATAATTTGTGGCATGCATTTGGCACACTGTAACTTAAGTGTCAAATTAAAATATTTGGTAGGACATGTTCGATGTGCCATTTTTTTTATCTGGATAAATTGCAGTTTGCTGAAACTCAGTTTGGTCTCATTTTCAGCAAGAGGTGATTGCCGGGGCAATGAAAAAATAACTATGTGCATTTAAAATGTGGATTCTCACTAGATTTGGAGGGCTAGAGCAATGGTCACTGCTACGTATGAAATGGGGATTCTTCTGTTTGAGTGCGTCTGGATGGAAGTGGAAGGCGAGATGATGGGTGGGTGCATTTAAAGCTAGCCCGTCTACGCGCCGTTTGGAGACCGGTGGAGTCGATGACTCAGCCTGGCTAGGCTGGTCATAGTGGGAGTAACATAGGTAGTAACATAGATGCCACATAAGCAAAATTGGTGATGTGGCAAGTAGTTAATGAGGAGAGAGGCAAATAGAGTAACATAATATGTTACCATCACATAGCGGTTTCCAATGCATAATGAGTCTACAAAGTAATAAATGAAGGCAACTATGTTACCACACCTATGACACTACCCACTATGAAGGTAGTAACATAGACTAGTAACATATGTATGTTACTAGTAACTTAGACTAGTAACATATGTATGTTACTAGTCTAAGTTACTCTCCACTATGACCAGCCTAGGGCTGGTCATAGTGAAAGTAACATAGGTAGTAACATAGATGCCACGTAAGCAAAAATGTTGATGTGGCAAGTAGTTAATGAGGAGAGAGGCAAATAGAGTAACCTAATATGTTACCATCACATAGCGCTTTTCAATGCAAAATGAGTCTACAAAACAATAAATGAACATGTGTATGTTACTACATATATGACACTTCCCGCTATAAGGGTAGTAACATAGAGTAGTAACGTATGCATGTTACTACTCTAAGTTACTCCCCACTATGACCAGAACACGCCGATCCGTCAGCCTGCTGCCTGTTCCGCCTCGCTACTGTAACACGCCGTTGCAATGATTACGCTACAGCGGTTCAATGGGAAAATGCGAATACGACAGTGAAATACACTGGATGGCACGGATCCACATGTGACGTGTTGGATCACAGGCCGGAAACACACGCGAGCACGGTGGAGACAGACGAGAGAGGGAGGAAGACGAACACACGGGATTTTGCGAGGCGCAACTGCCGTCCTCTTTTCTGGTTTTCTTCTCTTATTTATCTTTTGATTACTGCAAACTTGACGAGTTAAACCGGCCGAACTCTATGCCACGACCCACCATATTCGTGCCATTCCACGATAGTGCATCGTGGCTCAACTAACTCACGTACTAATAGCCGCAACGTAAACTCGAACACTTCTGGCTAATGATCCTATTTACATGCATCGACTCAATCCACGTGTACACATCCATCAATCGGCGTACACACGTACAAGCAAGGACTCAACTAGCTAACAAACCAGCTAGCATGCAACTTCTTAATTAAACATGCATGCATGACACGGTAAAAAACTCTACTAATGCATGTAACAAGATTGAAACTAATAAATCGGTGGTGTAGATTTCGGGATCATCTGAGCCCGGGCTCAGAAACTGTTTTTCGCTGTAGGAGTGGCTTTTTTTATACCTGTTGTCGGAGTATCTATATATACAAAAATTAATCATTATGCTTGTGACATCAGAGTAACCAAATTTATTCAGCTGGCCTCTCTACAAATTCAGGGCGGTTGGACACAAAAGCCCACTTCTAAAGAACTATAATGATCTGTTTGAATTACTAATTAATAGTATAAACTGGAACAGGAGGTCAAGTTTCTTGGACACAAGTTGAACATGCAACAACTACATGAGCAAAGCATTACTATCTGTGACAAAATCTAGAAGCTTGATACAAAACGTTTTGAACTGCAGAGACAACAGAATCAATTTTGAATATTTTCTAAGAACAAACAAGCAACATCTACGAACTAACAAAATTGTAACATCAAAACAGGAAATCATAAATGCACTAAATACAGGCCGAAGCAAATTATATGGCAGCTGACATGTACATTTACTAGAAATATAAGACATTTTTTAGTTCAATTTGAACTACAAAAACGTCTTATATTATGGTACAGAGGTAGCAGTAAGCAGCAAAATGCAAGGTCAAACCATTTTTACACATGGGATGCTTCCTTTTTTTTTCAAAATTGCATGCCAAACCTACACTGGAAGGATTAAACTGTACCTAGTAGTGGTGGAGCTGCTGCTGGGCCTGGGCAGCATACACTGCCGGTGCAGGACTATAGTACACCACCGGAACGCTGGTGGCCACCGTGAAGAGAGCCAGCACGCCGGCTGCCAAGTAGAGACTGCAGGTACCATCGGCGAACTTGTGACACTGGTGCAGGGAACGGCCCACCAGGTCTGACACCGTCAACGAGCAGGCAAAGTAAACTAGCAGTAGGCCCATCATCACCTGTGACAGGAAATTTTCAGTTACAAAACATGGTATGTGCATATGTGGATGTTTATGCATACGTGATAGCTCACCGTGTCAAAGAGGCCGAGTGCAGTCAACGTCCCAGCACCTGCTGGGGCCATGCCCTGCAGATCATGGCCCCATCGTGTACTACACGAAGAAGGCTCACGGTCATCTGCAAGGGCAGGACATAGCGCAGAAAGCTACAAAAGGAAATATAGTTAATTGAGTTCATGATAAAATATAGTTGGGCTAGGTGGGGGGGGGGGGTATAGCCCCCTGAGCTATACACATAGCTCTGCCATTGGGTACAGGAGTCCGTCTTGATTCTTACCTCTACTCCATCTAACATTGACGTGTTATAGGGTGCCGTCACGCTTTGCGGTCTACTTAAACATGCCGCAACTAATGGTCAGTGACTCAGTGTACATAAATTGTGTAGTATACTACTATGGAAAAATAAAGCTAGGTAGTATCACTCCCCAACTCACATTTTCATACTGAAGCATGCATGCATGGATGCATATTTTCGTATAGCCTACATGCTCGTTTTAGTGCAATTTTTAGAAACGTGGCATGGGATGCTTCTTTTTTTTCAAAATTGCATGCCAAGCATACACTGAAAGGATTAAACTGTACCTAGTAGTGGTGGAGCTGCTTCTGGGCCTCGCATCATACACTGCCCGTGCAGGACTGTAGTACACCACCGGGACACCGGTGGCCACCGCGAAGAGAGTCAGCATGCCGGCTGCCAAGTAGAGACCGCAGGTATCATCGGCGAACTTGTGGCACTGGTGCAGGGTACGACCCACCAGATCTGACACCGTCAACGAGCAGGCAGAGGAAACTAGCAGTAGGCCCATCATCACCTGTGACAGAAAATTTTCAGTTACAAAACATGGTATGTGCATATGTGGATGTTTATGCATATGTGATAGCTCACCGTGTCAAAGAGGCCGAGTGCAATCAACGTCCAGGCCCGGACGCAGGGGCGTGCAACTGGTGCGGCCGCACAGGGCCTCCAGCTGGGAGGGGCCCAAAATTTCTCTAGTCATAGGTATAGGCCCATCGATCTCGCTTGAAGGTCTGTTGCATCCTGCCGTTTGTTCTCTCGATGCCTGGCTGTTGTATCCTGCGTGTGGACCTATGAATGGATCTAGCGCCGCAACGCCTCTTTGTCCAGTTTTCACAAGTCCACTAATTTGTTTTGCACATCGCACCCATCTTCTATATCTAATAGCTAGCCTCCACTACAAGATTTGTCTACACATGCGTGCTTCCACATCATCTCAATTATTTACAGCCTTTCGATCAAAATCATGTGGCATCAACAAGTGATGCATGTGCTCATAAGTTACTCTTTTGCATTAATGTAAATCATGCCACCTCATTAGTCATGCATGTATTTTTTTCGAACGCATGCATGTACTCACTTACATTTTTGCATTAATCTATCAACTAAAACAACGCCACTTCATCAAACATATCTTCTTTTCAGGGTAATTTTTTTCTTCTCTTTTATACATCATTTTGTCACACATTTCTTTCATGTTTTATCATTTTAAATATGTAAAACTGTTACATTTTTTTTCATTGGTTTTAAGCACATATGTATGCATTGGTTTAAACATAGTTCCCGCGGCAACGCGCGGAGCATCTTCTAGTTTAATTAGATAGAAACTGCAATCCATCGTCTACGTACCAATTTTTCACAAGTCTATCAATTCCGATTCTCTAGCGGTATTTTTTAATGGAAACAACAGTCCATCATTTTTCTTTTGCACATCATGCCCATCTAATTTGTGTGTTGCTGAATATACTAGTAGTTTATTTTACTCTATACTAGTCAGCCTGTAAGACCCAGTACTAGTCGATTTTATTCTTAGTAGTATCACTGACAGAAAAACCACTGCATATAAGTAAGTCTGCAGCAACCTTGTTTTTATAAAATCAAACTAAACTGTTATTCTATAAAATAAAATTGAGCTTAGTTCAGTTTTGACAAAAAATGCGATATTTTGTTAAGCGACATCTTGTTTAAAAATTATATTTGTTAAGCGATAAAGAAGACAATTTTTTTTGCATTGAGATAGGCCCTATTTTAGAGTTTAGCACAGGGCCCCTGAT